CCGAGACACGAAGTTTGAGAATCCAAATACAGGTTTTAATGGGAAAATCCAAGATCATAAACCGTATAACAGGCAGTGATCAAAAGAACAGGGTAATCAATCCAAACAATGACAAACAAATCCAGAGGGTGAGACAGGGACAGGGAAACCAGGACATAGACAGATAACAAAAGCCAGGAACCTGGAAACCAGTGGAAACGCTCAGAAATGCAGTGTTACATGTACAAGACTTCTCAGGGAATGAATGTGAAAACCAGGCTATTATAGGGTGAGTTAAACAAGGTAATGAGAGACAGGTGGATGCAATCAGGGATGATGAGTCCAGGCAGAGAGTTATGGGAAATGTAGTTTCAGTAGGGAAATGACAATAGTCCGGGGTGGAGTGCCCTCTGGTGGTAATGATGGGCACTCTCACAGGTAATGGTGACATAGCCCTCCCTCAAAAGAGCGGCTTCCAGACGCTCCAAAAATTGTCCAGGAGGGAGGTGGAGCGGAGGCGGACCCGGCGGCAGGATGGAGGGCCAGGGCCGTGGAGCGGAAGAGGGCCTGGAGACTGAGGCGGATCATACTGAGCAGGCGGCCGGGGTGGAGCAGGCCGGGCAGGTGTCCAAGGTGGAGCAGGCCGAGCAGGCGTCCAGGGTGGATCAGGCGCCGACGTTTCAGGGGGCCAGGGCGGATCCGACGGTTCAGGGGGCCAGGGCAGATCCGACGGTTCAGGGGCAGAGGTGGCCATCTTGTCTGAAGACACAGGTGTAGAGGCGGCCATCTTGTCCAAAGTCACAGGCGTGGCGGCGGCCATCTTGTCCGAAGACACAGGCGTGGCGGCGGCCATCACGGGACGAGACTCTGGAAGGGCGGCCATGACGAGACAAAAGTCTGGAAGGGCGACCATGACGGGACGAGAGTCTGGAAGGGTGGCCATGACGGGACGAGTGTCTGGAAGGGTGGCCATGACGGGACGAGACTCTGGAAGGGCGGCAGCCATGATGGGACGAGACTCTGGAACGGTGGCGGCCATGACGGGATGAGACTCTGGAACGGCTGTGGCCATCTTGGCTGAGGGGTCACGGGATGGAGTTTATGTGTGTGCCCACACACACAAAATAGCCGTGGCCATGATGATCAGCGCTGTATCATCCGGAGCTGACTCAGGCACGGCGGCCTCGACGTGAAGAAGCTCAGGCTCGGCAGGCATGACGTGAAGAAGCTCAGGCTCGGCAGGCATCTTCACAGGACATGGTGGTGAACTTAGTGGGCCAAGCTCCGCGGCCACCGGAGCTTGGTGCATACTGCCCCCTCCCAAAAAATGTCTAAGGGGAACGTCCTCCTCAAACTCCCCGACAGTGAAGGAGGGAACGGGTATAATCTAGGAACTCGCTCAGTGATCCTCGAGGACCATTACGGATTAAAGTGGATTTTAATGGGTTGTTGAGTCCATAACTCAATGAGAGCATAGTCTGGGAGGTTAGTGAAATTGGCAATACCTAGGAAGTCCTGAATGTGGTCCTCGAGCGAGCGAGTTCCTTGGCGAAGGTGGACGAGACGTATTGCTGGATCCATAGTGGTGAAGTCTTCTGTAACAAACTGCTCCGAGACACGAAGGTTGAGAATCCAAATAGAGTTTTTAATGGGAAAATCCAAGATCATAAACCGTATAACAGGCAGTGGTCAAAAGCACAGGGTAATCAGTCTAAACAATGACAAACAAATCCAGAGGACAAATCCTGAGACAGGAATGGGAAAACCAGGACACAGGCAGATAGTGATGTTACGTCTGACACCTACGCTCCGAAGCTTGTTTCAAACTCGAACGGTCCTTGCAATGAACCACTTCTTCGGAGCTTATTTAATTACGTCACTAGTCACGTGAAAATGATGTCTGAAGCAAACACACTGGTTCACTCCTGTAGTGAACCACCTGACTGCTTTGACAGCCCAATCCAGTGTTGACAGGTTTGAAACCTGGCGGCTGTATTTCTTATAAAAGTGAAGCCAAACCATGGCAACACCGTGGGTTGTAGTAGTCGGTGTTTGGATTGGCGTTATTGTTGAGGAGCCAGCGAGTTGTGATGGAGCCAGCGAGAAAGAGAAGTCGTTCCCAAGTTTGGGAACACTTTAAACTTATTTCCCCGAATAAGGTTAGTTCCTTGACATTTCTGCATACAAATATTTTTACATATGTAGTGAATGATATGGAGAAAGACAGAAACTTCAAAAAACCTCTGCTACATTATACAAGTACAACCAGTTACACAAGCACATCCTTTTCAACATACAAAAATATCAGTCCCACCAGTTAACAAGTTATAGAGTTCTGCTTCCCACAGCTAAACAAGATAAAGCTTTCACACATGATACTGCCCTGCTAAAAAAAACTATAGAAACCATTACAGAAATTCTATTGGATTTAATGGTTTTCATGGGAATTTTATTGGTTGTAATGGGAATTATAGTGGTCTCTGTGGGTCTCTACTGATATGTGATGGGTTCTATTGGTGGGGGCATTACATCATAATGGAATATGTCCCAAACACACTCCAAAAAATAATTCAGTTTCAGATATAAACAGAAACAGAAACACTCAGTTTCAGATATTCTCATGTTAATCTTGAGTACCTATAGAATAGTATTGCATCCTTCATATCTCCAAAAAGTCTTTAGTTTTATTATATTTATGAAAGAAAGATAGGCTGTACCCAGTCTTTCCGGAAAAAAACGAGCGGGTCGAGGTATGCTGTGTGGGCGGAGCTAAATAATCACGAGCGTGCGAAGCTTTTGCGTTGAGAGCGTCTGGAAGCTGTGACATCCCAAAACAAACCATGGCTAACAATCAGATTCAGCCATACATTTTTGATCCCGAATCAGATCCCAAGGCTAAAATTGAAGATGAGCAGCAGCAGCAACGACTACAGCAGGACGTCTCTGTGGTGTGTACTGGAACTGTATAACTTATATTTGCTTAGCGGTTTTTGTGACTAATTTTCACTTTAACTAAACTTTATGTCGTCATATTTATTTTTTTCTTTAAAGGTGTACATGTGGGAAGTGTAGTTTGATGCCGACTGAGGCGGAAAACGTTTGCTGCCAAGAAATAGAACCGCCCAGATAGCAATGAGTCGGCGGACCACCGTCGGTTCTCCGGCGGCAGTAGAAGCGTCAGAATGGCGACATCGCAAACACGTTGGACGGCGCACTGCCGGCGGCAGCCGCTTTTTAAAAGCGGCAGCCGCCTTCCTACCGCCTTCGTTAAGCGGCCGGCCCGCGGGCCAACCGCCGTTCCGCCGCGCTTTATATTGAAGGCCGTCCTTCCGCGGCCCGCCGGAGGCAAACGCTATTTTCGAGCGCTCTGCCGCCGCTTATTCTGGCTATATATATATATATTATTTTATTTATAGCATGCAGTTTATCAAGAATAATGATTGCTCAAACCAGACAAATTTACAATTGGCATTTTTATTCCACATTTCAAAGTACAGTAACTGTCATTTAAACAAGATGTTTCAGATCACTGAAACATAACAGAAAAATAAATAAATCAATATACTAACATGCAGGTTTCCAATTCAATTTTGGTTAAACAGCCTTACAAGCAAATTACAACACTTACAATAAGTGTTCATATAAAAAGGACAGCTCTAGAGTAACAAATTACCAGTAAACATTATGACAAGTAAAGAGGATATTTGATACCAAATAATGTGCAAGATACCAAATAAAAAAAAGTATAACTACATTTACAAGCCATTTCTAACAATATGATAAGTGGTAGTAATTTATAGTAAAGCTCTGGAGTAGAATAGGCCATTATAACGGCAATGCTGACCTGTGGCACAAGGATTTACAAGCTTTATTTGAAAAAGAAAAAAAAGAAAGTAATTTCTACAGTGAGTGAGTGTAGTCTGACACTTCTGACTTCTTTAGGGGTCTTGATTCTACTGACTGCAAGATAAAGAAAGGATTCCAGTTGTCAGTGATTCTGGGGTGTCAGTAGTCAGTCTAGTTTTAAGTGGTCGGCTGTGGGTCCCTCTCAGCTGTGCGGCGCCTTTTTCTGCCTTCACGGTCAGATGCTCCTTTCAGGTAACGCGTAACGTTAACCTGGACTGCCTCATCAGTGCATCCTGGGTTGCCGGGTCCTTCCGGATGGCTAATATAGAAAATACAGATCTGTCATTTAATTTGAATTGCATGAGGACAATAGGACATACACATCATGTATCCAATAAAAAAATCCGATAAAAAATATCCAACTTACTTTGAACAATGGTCTTCAGGAACATGTCTCTAAAACATGCTTTATCCCCTACACCAAGCTGAAAATCCAAAAAAGTGTTACAAATTACATTTCTCTGAAGCTTCTCATAAATAAATAAAAAATGTGAAAGGCTAAGGATTCAGACTGTAATATATGCAGTATACAATCTTAAATTTTACTTTATATCTAGGTCTACTACATGTACAGGTAGCCCCAGTGGGAATGGGCTATATGCACGCATAAGTTCCGCATTTGACGCAAGGATGCTCGTCAGTTTCCGGTTGGGGAGATTAAAGCGGAGGAAAACCGAGGAAAACGGGATTATGGCAGAGTCTTCAAAATTTACTGTCCTCCCGTCTTTGAAACGAAACTTGCATAAGTTTAGATGTAATTTTATATATAATTATGTTTATTTAATATAATTTAAAAAAGAAGCATAAACACAACGAGGTGTGTCTGTTTTGTCAGTTTTTGTGACTAACGCTTCTTTAGTATAACCATGGAGTATACAATTCAATATAAATTCTCGGTATTGCATTGGACTCTATGATCGGCGGAAGTTATCGAGCATTCTTGACCTTCACCGGAAATACCGCCGTGCATAGAGCCCATTAAACCGACAGCCACAGGTGCTGTTTGCAAGTTGTACCTAATTGCTCAGTGCAAGCAAACGTCTTCAACATTGTTTGTTGAACTTGCTTCACCTGCTCTTGAAGTAAGATTTTACAATTCGTGTTTTTATATGTAATATTGTAGTGTTTATTATAAATGATTTATCTGTGCACTTCATTATTCTTTTAAAATTCATGTAGCCTTATAATCTTTAATCAAATACGTTACCCTTCCCTCCCCCCTCGAAACGACTTCTCTTCTCTTCCGGTCATGTGCTATGGCGCGAGGGCGTGGCAACTCCCCTCAAACCGTGCTATGAGCAGAGATGGAGAAGAGGAGCGCTAGAGTAAAACCCTGCCCTCCGTTCAATATACTGTTTCATTTTTAAATACGTCACAACACTGGAGAAAAGTCGTTTGTAACTTCCGGTTCATGCCGACTTCAAATAGAAGCAATAGTTTCCAAGACAAAAAAACTTCACAAATAACATCACTTACTTGTACTCAAACTCTTGGCTCTGTGAAGTGGAGTCTGGATTACTGGGGAGAAACCTGGTTGCGAGAAAGAGGAAACAGAAATTTGAAAATCTAACAAATGGTATAGTTTAGTGGCAGGATCACAAATCCAGCATAACAGCAATAGATTTTACATACCAGTTCAGCATTTTCCTGGTTTTCTGGAATCGATGCATCTTTCTAGAGTTTTTTTTCTTGAGACTTCCAAGATTCTAGAGTAGGGAATAATGAATGAAAGAGTCAGTTATCCACAATAAACAGAAAATAAATTACACAGATGAAATACAGGAAAATCAAATACACAAGTCAGACCCATTTACCTGCTCCCTTCATGAACTTAAAATGATGTTTCTCCCAGGTGCTGTGTGGAGGTGTGCAGAGGATGGCTAAATTGTTGCCTTCGTCTTTTTGCTGAGGTTAAATGGGGGCCAATGGCACATGCTCTCGCTGAGCCACTCTTGCGGAACCACTGCAAATGGCAGATCCTCCTCGTTGATAAACTGAACAATGTGAACCATCTAAAATAGAAGAAAATTTTGCATAAAGTATACTTTTTGATTAATTTCCAGGCAAAATCAATAATATTAAAATGCTCACCCCTTCAAAAAAACGAGTCATTTTCACAAGTGGATCAACAGAAAACCATGTTCAGACAAACACAATCATATACATATACACACATATATACATATACACACATACATATATATATATATATATACACACACACATAGTTATTTTTGTAAGAAAACACCAAAAGTTAAACTTTCTAGATGTAAAGCTTTCTTTCTAGATGTAAAGCTTTGGCGCTCTACTGTAGCTAGATACATTTCAACATGTCGAACATGCTTGAATTCAGTGAGTAAAAAAGGCGAAGCAGCATGTGTTAGCTAACACTGTAAGTTAAACTAGACTAGCAGCATGGTTGTCGAATCAAACAAAACATCATTATGTTTAGTTAGAAAACAACACAAGTTATACTTTTCAGTCTTTCTTGTTGTAAAGATTTTGCTAACGTTACCATTCCCACGTGGGCGGGAGAATTGTCCTTCAGGATTTGGTTACGTAAGTTAGTTAATTATTCGACTGACCAATACGATCTTAAACCACATACTGTAGTACTCACACTTGCATAAACATACGTAAATATAGTTAAAAGAAGAAAAGAAAAAACTAACGCCAGGAAGAAACTAAGTAACGTTAGCTATGTCAGAAACATGACGAAAACTTTGTAAACAAGGCTAACTTACTAGCTTGACTAGTAAGGCAAGAACATATTTGAAAAAGATGAACTAAAAATGTAAAAAATGAACATAATATTGCGTTACACAAAAAGGAAAAATGTACTTACTTTAAAGATCGTAGTCAATGACTATAGGATATCGTCTCCAAATACTGAAATCGTGTGACGAGTGGCCACTGTTGTGTTGGTAAATCTGCTTCCGTTTTTTAGGTACTGCCCCTCTCGGCCGGTGGAGGTACTTCTCTGTTTGTGCTTTAATACTTTCTTAAACATTTGTACAGATTGCAAAACTCGCAATTGCAAATTAATCCCTTACCTGTAAAAGGTAAAATAAATTTAAAAAAACGAGCTTGTAAAAAAATGAAAGACATAAACGAAATTTCCTGGGGTGACAGAGAGACAAAATATTTCTAAATATTTCACTTTATCTTTCAGGTCAAAACAGGGATTTTCATGTTTATTATAAATATTACCATGGTTTCAAATTAATAAAAAAAATCTAAAGCATACCCATGCAAGCTTTTGGCCAAGTTGCAGATGTCTTTCACTGTTCACTGATTTCAGGCATTGGTGAAAAGTCTAACTTCATCCATTTATTCTGCTAAATTGTTCATACCATGAATGAAATATTTATTTTAAAACCTAATCACAATCCGAAAGATATTTATTGCCAAGTAAGTTTTACAAAAGGAATTCTTTTTGGACTATTTGTGCATCTCAATTGTGCATAAATCAAAGAAATGTAAAGAATTGTCACCTTAAGTGAATAAAATAATTCTATATATTTTACATAGGCCTATCACTGAATCGCTTCAGAGTTTCAACGTAATTTAAATGTATTTTCCTAAACCTTATCATGGAATCAGACTGAGTCAAATCTGTTATAAACCCTAATGACTTTGGAGCAACAACAATAACAAAATTTGATATAATTCACATAATAATTACAATCGCTTTAAATGTGAAAGTTAAAATGCTGTCAGTTCCACTCATGCCAATGACATGGCTGGTCGATTTCAATGCGGCTTGCCGCCAGCCGGCCGCGGTTCATTTAGACGGCGGCAACCGCCAGAGAGAATAAAGTCGGCGGCCCGGCGGCTGTTCGCCGGCGGCATCTCGCAAGAAATGGGAGTGACGTATTCGGCGGCAAACGTTTCATCTCCGCCAGCGGGGCGCACCTATAGCCGACAGTTTGGGGCCGGCGGCAAAAAGAAGCCGTGCCGATATTTTTTGCTATCTGGGCGGTTATACTTTTGTCTTGAAATGCATTGTCAGAGCTGAGAGAGGGGACCCAAAAGCGAAAGCAGGTAATAATGTCTTTAATAGAAATTAGGCAATTGGCCGCATGGGCTGGCAAACAGAAAGTCTCTCAATAATAAAGAACATAAGCAGGAAATGGCCCGAGACCGGGAAATACAGGTCCGTAGATGAGAACAGCGAAGGCAAACAGCAGCGGCCGTAGCAGGTGTACTCACGGGACCAATCTCAGCGTTCAGTAGCAGGAGAGCTGGGCAGAGCACAAGTTTAGCACAAACACACAATCGTAGAATGTAGACGAGTAGGCAATGAAGACCAGATGGGGCAAGACAAGACTCGGAGATAGAGAACGATCACAAACGTGTACAAAGTTAATAATCTGGCAGAGGACAAAGGAGAGAAGGGAACCAGAAGTAGAGATGCTAATCAGAGAGAAAGAGAGGACAGGTGTGGAAACGAAGATACTGATTGCATAGGGAGATGAGGAACAGCTGAGTATGAAAGAAAGCGCATGTAAGTGTGTGTGTGTGTGTGTGTGTGTGTGTGTGTGGCAGCAGGGGAAGAAAGAGAGAGAGGAAAATACCAGGATCATGACATTATAATGTGTAAAGTTGTAGTTTGTAAGACTTAATATGATAGCATACAATATCAGCTTACTAAATGTACTTTAGCACTGTCTACATAAAATATTTTACACATTATTCCTTCACCTTCATTTATAAACTTTGGGTAGCCTATCATTATATAACATTTGCTGATTACATTATCCAACCAGTGTATTGCTGTAATATGATGTAATTACATGCATGCATAGTAACTTCCATAAAGCCGAGCACAGCGCTTTGATGGGCATACTTTCGCTCTCTCGCTCTAGGCTACAGGTGCGCGCGCGCACTTCCAGGACAAGTTCCCTTATGGTGTGTTCACACCGAACGCGAATAGAGCGTCAAATACGCGTCTATCGCGTCTAGTTAGACACTTGAATCTTCCGCTCGAGTTCAAATTTTTTAACTTGCGCGGAAGACGTTCGCGGCAAACGCGCCGCCCAATCCGCGTCTTTGCATTGACTTTGTATGTAATCTACTCACGCAAATAATTAAATTCGCGTTCGGTGTTACGTCTCCCCATTAATAGGTCTAGAATCAATAGGGAAAGTAACATATAAGTATTAAATTGAGTTCAATAAATAACAAAAAAAAGAAAATAGGTTCAGTTACTGATAACAACTTGTGTTGAGATGAATCAGACAGAGACAGATTTCGTTGAATGATTTTTAGTAGGTCGCAATAGTAACCCAATGGTTTTACAGTTTGAAAGTGAAGAAATAAATATTTACAGAATATACACAAATGATAAGACAAAACGTAGAACACAGGAGAAAGGGACAATGAGCGGTGCTAAAGCAAAGAAATAAACATAACAAAACCCTCTAATCTTGACCCCTTTGATATTCCTAAACTATCAAAGAAATACACGAAAATAAACAATTTTCCGGCAACGAATCGCCGACTAAACTACACTAAATAACAAACATAAATACATGAGGTAGCATCCGCTCCTTACCTGGGGTCTCATTTATAAAGCGTGCGTACGCACAAAACGGGGCTGGAAACGTACGTACGCCAGTTTCCACGCAAAGGTTGTGATCTATAAAAAACGTCTCAGGTTACGACTGTAACCATAGTTCCCTGAGAAAGGGAACGAGACGATGCGTCAACGACACTTTGGGAACGCCCCCAGCGTGAATGCGTCTGAGCATCAATGTCAACTAGTCCAATGGAAAGAATGAGCGTCACGGGCGGGTGACGTCATGACCAGGAAGGGATAAAAGCACATCCGGTGCAAACCGGCATTAGCTTCGAAATCGCCGAAGCAAGCCGATCACAGGGATGCAGGAAGTATGGCAGGGTGACGCATAATCTCGTTCCCTTTCTCAGGGAACTATGGTTACAGTCGTAACCTGAGACGTTCCCTTTCGAGGGAACTCGCGATGCGTCAACGACGCTTTGGGAACGAGAATACCCAAAACGCCAGAATTCCAAGTACCTGAGTGTTAGTCTGTTGTAACTAAGCACTAAGCACCTGGGGCAGCATCCAGGTCTAAGCTGTAAAACCTAACGAATGTGAGCGGTGAGGACCAGCCTGCCGCATCACAAACGTCTTGAAGAGAAACCCCAAATAGTAAGGCTTTAGAGGCCGCCATACCCCTCGTAGAATGAGCTCTGACCACCAAAGGACACGGCTGGTCAGAGTACTCGTATGCAAGTGCAATAGCCTCAACTATCCACTTACTAACCGTCTGTTTAGAAACAGGAAGACCTTTCTTAGGTGATCCAAAGAAAATAAATAACTGATCGGACTTCCTCCATGAAGATGTCCGATGAACATAAGTATCCAGTGCTCGCACTGGACACAAGAGGTTCAGCCTTTCCTGGTCCGCAGATGTAAAAGGAGGAGGGCAGAAAGCCTGCAGCACAATAGGCCTCGGAATCAAGGTCGGCACCTTAGGGACGTATCCCTGTTTTGGATATAAGAATGCCTTGACCATCCCAAACTCAAGGCAAGTGGGGGAAACCGAAAGGGTCTGAAGGTCTCCAACTCTCTTAAGGGACGAAATAGCTAGCAGAAAGATAGTCTTAAAGGTAAGAAATTTCTCTGAAACCGAATCTAAGGGCTCGAACGGAGCCCTAGACAGGCCTTCTAGTACTATAACAAGATCCCAAGCTGGCACCCTAGTGCGAGTTGCAGGCCTCAGCCTCAATGTGCCACGAAGGAAACGTGTAATCAGGGGGTCTCGACCCAACGATGTACCCCCCACCAGGGCGTGGTAGGCCGCAATGGCCGCCACGTAGACCTTGAGCGTGGAAGGACATAGACCTGACGTAAAGCGCTCCTGCAGGAACTCGAGTACTGTGTTCACAGAACAGTTAACCGGATCCCACTGATGTCGGTGACACCATACAGAAAAAACTCTCCATTTAAGCGCATATAATTTCCTAG